CTGGATTTTGGCATACTTAATTCAATCAGATATTACGTTTTCATTACCCTTGCTTTTCAAATTGCTCTGAGATCTGCTCGTATAGAACCTTTAGGTTTTCAAAGTTTGAGTTACCACATACATGATGAAAGTCAAATGAAACGTATCTGCTACAAAAACACAAGCAGTAAGTTGAGAACAAAATCTCATTTCTGACATTGTTCCCAATGCCAACCAATAGAACTGACTTTATTACAAGCAACCTCAAAAACGAAAAACAAATCTACTTGAAGTGGGTAAATGATTCAGTTGGGAGACAACATAGTTGCATACATAAGTATGCATATTGTCACCTCACGTTTGGTAGATTTTGCATTTCAGCAGAAAATGCCGTGCTTAGTTGACCTTCATCACCATGCTACCAATAACAATGAACGGAAAAATTATAACAACTGGAAATTTATGAAACAACATATAATTTGCATACAATTAATAAAACAGTAAACCTTGTGTAGCACAAGCAGTCAGCTGGGAAGAATTACAGACATCATTGCTTATTTAGCGAATCCCAGAGCCACAAAAAGGTGAGCGTGCCGTACAAACACAATTTGAAGGAAAAAAATTGCAAACTTTTCAGCTTAACGTAAAGGTGAACCAGTGTGCAAGGATTGTTAAATTCAAAGTAAAATGTAAAAGAGAAGAAACCCTTACTTTATCAGTTAGGTCTATTGCCATTGTCTCTCCATATCTTTGGGAAAGATAAAAAAAATGGCGCTCCACAACATTTGATTGTAAGTAGATTGGGAAAATTCAGAAACTACTCTAACAAGAACTGTACCATGAAGCCAGAAAAGAGTAAAAGGGGATGGATTTGCATCTCTGGCAACAAATTACCGTCTGCTCATGTGTAAATAATCCTAAGTTGTGGTTTATAGCTCAAGTCAACAATTTGCTCCCAAAGAAGCGGAATTGAACCTCGAATCTGAAAAACATATCAAAAGTATTATGGAGGGTTTTTATTTGGAAAAAAAGGAATAGATAAATATATCTTCTTGTATTAAGTTATGACAAAACTTCCAATCTACTATCAGTCTTGAGGGTTAATAGTGAAACAGTGTCTGCATATTTAGAAAGTATGGGCATTTCGACAATCTGCAAGTTGGATTCAAAATTTCTCAGGTCTTAGTGAATATTGAATAGAACTCGCACCTGAGAACAAAGTTCCATGTGCAAAGATTTCAGGCAAAACCAAATAATAGTAATACCTTGTTGCAGTGTGACGGATGTCAATGTCAACCCTCCGATTAGCAAAGCTGATGCCACCAGTAGATACTGCAATGTTTGTTCTCACTCTTAAAACTTGACTATAGATTCAGTGAAGCCATTTTAAAAGGGGCACAAGTCACCTTCAGTCGCGGCAACTAATGACGATTACATGCCAAGCTGGCCAATCAAACATCAAGTTTGCTAGAATTGAATTTTACTTCTCCTTTCGTTACTAAAAGCATATCCATTAAATATCGCTCATATTTGCTAAAGTAGTCATGATTTCTTACTAAATTTACTTTCAACAGATGCAATTGAATCATCAGGGTACTCCCCAAATCATCATAAACTAAAATATTCAGGTTCCGAGAAGATGAACCAAGACTTTATTATCCTACCCAAGGTTCTAAAAGTCGCTAGGTGCTAGTCGGGCGGCGGGCTAGGGCCTAGCGCTTAGGCGCCTAGGCGGACTAGGCGGATTTAAGTAAATCTATCATATTTCGTGTAAATAAGTGTCTGCTTATACTTGAAATATATATAATTTCATCATAAACTACACAACAGAATGCATATATATCATGAAGTATTGAAACATAATGAAAACATTGAAATAAGGATATAATGTGTGTTCATTTAAGTGTGCAACAAGTCTCTTACAATTTATTGGAAAAAAACAAAATGCAAAATGAAAGTTATCTATTTTCTGTCTAAGTGAGTTGCAACCTAGGCGGGTCTTTAGGCGGGTCTAGGCGTGCTAGGCGGATGCCTCAGCAGGTCTAGGCGCCCTTTCTTAATTTTCAAACGCCTAGGCATTAATCGGGGCGGCAGGCTGGGGCCTAGCCCCTAGACGGGGATTTTTAGAACAGTGATCCTACCCGGGATCTGTATAATTGATAGCAAAGGGATATATAAAACCAGACAAGGAATTCAGGCACTTCAACTTCTTTGAAAGATTCGTTGTACTTACAGAAAAATATTCAGCCCGGGATGGTGCAATATCCCTTCTAACTGTATAGCGGCCACTGATAAGATCCATAGCATCCTGAACAAATTTGAAACTTATTTTAAGCAGGTTAATAAATGGAAGTCACTTGCTTTCATGCAGATGAGCAATACTCTATATTTGCGAAAGAGGCAGATTACCTGCCGAATGCCATCCTGAAAGTTATTCAAAAAATATCTTGAAAGAGAACTCATCCCGTCTTTAATTATTCCTCCAAATGTCTGCTTCCCATATCTGCTGTAATATGGATCCAGAATATGATTCGAAAAAAAAAAGGATATATATATATATATATATACACACAGTTGAATTTACCTAACCAGTTAGGTCTATTGCCATTGTCTCTCAATATCTTTGGGAAAGATAAAAAATATGGCGCTCCACAACATTTGACTGTAAGTAGATTGGGAAAATTCAGAACACTACTCTAACAAGAACTGTACCATGAAGCCAGAAAAGAGCAAAAAGGGATGGATTTGCATCTCTGGCAACAAATTACCGTCTTCTCATGAGTAATAATCCTAAGTTGTGGTTTATAGCTCAAGTCAACAATTTGCTCCCAAAGAAGCAGAATTGAACCTCGAATCTGAAAAACATATCAAAAGTATTATGGAGGGTTTTTATTTGGAAAAAAAGGAATAGATAAATAAATCTTCTTGTATTAAGTTATGACAAAACTTCCAATCTACTATCAGTCTTAAGGGTTAATAGTGAAACAGTGTCTGCATATTTAGAAAGTATAGTATTGAAAAAGTTCTCTAAATGTATAAAAGTTGGCAAAACCAATCTATCCTTGCTAAACTGTACAAAAGTTTCATCTATGTGAGGGGCAGTCCATAAACCTCAGAAAAGAATGACAAAGTTCTACAATTATGATATTTCTCACATCAACAAGGAGCGCAAAATGTGAAGAAAGTTGAGGTTCCATCATAAAACCAATTGGCAATATGGGGATTAGCCCAATTTACTTATAAGCTCATGCAAGGTCCCTCCTCCCATCAAAATGGGATTCATTCTCAACAGAATATACTTTTCTCAGATGTTTAATCCTCGGCCAACTTAGTTGATCACGTGTACAATGACACCATGATATAAGTTAATGTCCTATTTAGGCAAAGAAACATAATAGTAACTCAAAATATTCCAATACAATAATACCTCAGCACGCATTTCTTTTCTGAACCTTCATATGAGAATTACCTGCAATAATGAGGACCGGAAACCTTCAATCCCCACCAACTGCTCAGTTTCAATAAAATTAGCAACATCTCCATCAAGGTTGGCTCCTCTTCTTCACATTCTTGTCCCTACGTGACCACATTACAGTCTTTCATGTTTAAGTCCTTCAAAACATGCATATACAGACACAAAAGTGATTACAATAATCAATCATCTCTATAAGATTGTACCTAGACGCCGGGTACACCTCCTTGAGACTATCGTAAGTGTGGCAGATAAGTTCTTTAGCTTTAGCTCTGCAGTCTGGAAGCTCAAATGTAGGTTAAGGAACACCATAACATATTACTCACCTAACTCTGAATCTCAATCTTAGAGAGAGGGGGAGATAGAGAGAGTGAGAGAGAGAGAGAGAGAGAGGGATATACACATAAGAAATCAGTAAATTCAGGATATTTCCTTGTATTAGAGGAATAATGAACCCATCAAGCTGCCATGAGAAAATTAAGGGCATAGCAATAAAATTTGTGTACGAAGAACTGACGACTTTTGGAAATGTTGTTCTTCCTTAAATATATACGTTAAGTGGTGGCAAGTGAGAAAATACTTCAATTTTTTTAACTAATTATGACCTCGAGGATGGAAAGTCTAACCTACTCGATAAGTTCGTCCAAAATATTTTTGTTCCAAACAAATCGAGGGTCAGCCTGAAAACACAAATAATGTTAAAAACTACCAAGCAATTACTAGTCATAGATCGTAATGTGCAAGTAATAATTTGATAGGAGCTAAAATGGCATTAAGAGAAAAGACTGATAAACATCCACATGATATGGTGTGTCAGTTGACTCGATACTCATGTTTTCTCGTCTTCTAGTGCTGACAAAAAATCCTTTGGATAAAGGGGAAGGGAGAATCACTTGACAACCAAAATATTGCACAAAGGATGGCATGTCTTCAAGGATATGAACTGGGAAGGCATCTTTATTGAGCTGAAACTTTCACCTTGAGAACAAAAGATAAGTACAGTGCACAAAAACACAGAAGTAGGCAAATCCTTAGGGCGGTTTTCCTTTCTTTCCCTATTAACCCTCTGACTTGGAAAGAGTTGAGGATGCCTAGTAAGCTAAACACGTGGACAATATACATGCTTATATGCACCTGATGTATATAACATGAATCACTTTTAAGAACTAATCAGGTCCCGATAAACCCAATATTCCAAATTTCCAACTAACCTGCTTCCATATTGGCTTGGCCATCCATCCTTCCACTAACTTACATCTTCTTTGAAAGCTGGTAGAAATGACCAATTATATATGATTAGATAAACAAACACAACACTTTACCGCATAGATACATAAATTGACATAATAAGATTTTGAACATTAATCACACAACAGCGATGAAAACAGCGGAATGTACTTTAACAGCACCCTAACGGATACAAAAATTTAAACTTTATCTGAGTGCTAGGTATAAGAATTTACTTTTTCTGCAGAAACACATCACAAATTCAAAACATCCCAAGTCACACTTAAATTCGCTAACGAATCAAAAGAATCAAAACCCTTACCTCCTGAGCAGTTTAATTCTTCATACCCTCGTTGCAGGACAGAAACCTCATCGAGGTCACTCGATAAACAGGGAAGCCGAGATAAGTCCCAACTTCCGTCCGCGAAGTTAGTACAAGAGCATAATTTCCTGCACCAAACACATTAATTCAGCAAACAAACACCATTCCCTGGAAATATAGCCATTCAATCCACAGAATTATACAATATAACGGAAAAAAGTTACACATTTTCGTTTCGAAATACTCCAAAGCGAGTAAAAGCAAGCAATTGACTTACCTGTAAGCAATCTGATCGTTCCCGCCACTCCGTATATTGTCGAGGTTTTGTTCGGGGCTGCCCGGATGAGGGGTTTGGTTTGGGGCTGCCCGCATGACGGGGCAACACGTCTTGAGGCTGCCAAGTGGAGGGATTGTGTGAAGCCAAGTCATCGTTTTTGGGTTTTTGTGGGTGGGTAGATGGGGAATTGGATCCTCTCCGAGGCAAACCCTCGGGATCCTCTTTAACCCACTAATACAAGCCGTTAGATTTTGATCCAACGGTTATAATTATTATAACTTTTAGAGGTGACGATGTTTGAGTTACCACATACATGATGAAGGTCAAATGAAACGTGTCTACAACAAAAACACTAGTAAGTTGAGAACAAAATCTCATTTCTGACATGGTTCCCAATGCCAACCAATAGAACTGACGTCATTATAAGCAACCTCGAAAACAAAAAAGGAATCTACTTGAAGTGGGAAAATTATTCAGATGGGAGCCAACATAGACATGCAAATTGTCACCTCACGTTTGGTAGATTTTGCATTTCAGCAGAAAATGCCGTGCTTAGTTGACCTTCATCGCCATGCTACAAATAACAATAAATGGAAATTATAACAACTAGAAATTTATGAAACAACATTTACTTTGCATACAATTAAAAAAACAGTAAAACTTGTGTGGCACAAGCGGTCAGCTGGGAAGAATTATAGACATCATTGTTTATTTAGCAAATCCCAGAGCCACAAAAAGGTAAGCGTGTCTGTAGACATCGAAATTTAGGTAAATAAATGTCAAGGAAGAAAAAATCGATAATATCTATCGCCGATATTATCGGTTTTTCACGGTACCGATATTTTAATAGGTATCCAACGGGTTTTCGTCAAAATATCGCGATATTATCGATAATATCGCGATATTTCCGAAATTATCGCGATATTTTTGGAACTGTGCTACTCGGAGAAGAACGCCGGAGCTTCTACAGCTCCGGCCGACTGTAAAACATGACCCTAGACTCCGATCTAGGTATCAAAATGAAATAGAAGACGAGATGAAACACACAAAATCTGAAGCAGGTATGATGGTGTGCGTGTGTGTATGTGGGTCTCGGACCCTCGGTGCAGAGAGAAAGGAGAGAGACGGCGCCGACGAGGGAGGAGCAGAAGGCGATGTGGGAGAAGGATCGAAAGACCTTGGGTCTCTGTGCGTGTGTGTGGGAGAAGGATCGAGAGACCTTGGGTCTCTGTGCGTGTGTGTGGGAGAATGGAGAAAGGGGGAGAAGGGAACTCAGAGAAAGAGAAGGATCGAGAGAGAATGAAATGAGAGATGGAGAGCCGTTCGGCTCGGGTGTCAAGGAATTGCAGATGGCCTTTTTCATTTTTCCACAATTAAAAAAAAAAACAAAGGAATGGACATAAAGAGCCGTTTGGCTCCAGGTTTGATGCAAAGAAGAGAGCCGTTGGCTCGGCTCTGGGCTCGAGGCAGATGGATGCATAGCATCCAATGTGAGATCAAAACTGCAGCTAGGGTTTTATGGTGCACGTGTGTGCATGCATATGAGCTGCAATTGGGCTGACATAAAGAAGCCTTTTTCATTTTTTTTTAATTTTTATTTAATTTTTCTGTTAATTCATTCTCTGTTAGTTATTTTCTTTCATTTTTATTTTCATGTTTTACATAGTTTAGTTTATCTTAGTTCCAGTTTTTTTTTTTTTAGTTTGTTCTTTCTTTTCCACACCTTGAGGACAATGTGTGATTTAAGTTTGAGGGTGGGAAATAAGAAATTTTAGGTTTTTAATTTTTGTGTTAAGTTAAAATTTTCGTTTTTAAGTTAATATCCATAGTTTATTTTAAGCGTTAGAATAAATGGACAAGATGAAGGTTAATTCCATATTAAAGTCTTTTCTATTTATCGTCAATTAAACATTAATTCACGAATTATACTTTGAAAATTTGCATTATATATAAATGATTATGGTGTGTTTAAACTTCTTTCATTAATTACTACATATTTTTTACACTCACAATGTTTGTCAGCTCGCTATATAATCAACTTGATAATGTTAAATCCATCATGCAATGCATTTCCTTCCAATTTTTTGTGATAAACTAATAGATAATTGACTAAATAAACATCCTGCAAAGTTTCAATAAAAATTTCCAAGTTTTTCTTACAGTTCCGTGGTTTCCATGTAATTTTTATCGATATCGATATTATCTCGATATTTCCATCGATATTTCCGTGTTTTCGGACTACCGATATTTCCGATATTACCGATATTTTCTTCCTTGATAAATGTTGACCGATAAATCAAAGTTTCAATGCTCATGTATTACATAAATTTTACACGTAACGTGTGTCCAAACGAAAAATCGAAATAAGTCGGAAAAGTCATCAAACAGGACACGTGTCAACGCCCAGCATAAATGATTTATTTCATCTGATTATTTAATCCCAAAATTCAAGTTTTGGAATTCTATAAATAGAAGCCAATTTCATTCATTTCATTTCACCAATTCATATTACACCAAAACCTTGAAGCTTTGAAACTCTAAAGCTCTCAAGCGAATTCCGAAGGATCGAGAAAACTCTCTTCGTTCTTCGCCAAATCCGCCTTCAAGCCCAAGCCCCAACGGGCCCTTGAAGAAAGTGTTCATCGTTCATCAACTGTTCATCCTCAAGGATCAAGCCCCAAGGGCCCATTTGGATCGACAACATCAACGAATCCGTTCATCAACTGTTCATCCTCAAGGATCAAGCCCCAATGGCCCCCTTTGGATTGACAACATCAGCGAATCCGTTCATCAAGCTCAAGCCCCAACGGCCCCTTGAAGATCCGCTCAATCGCTGTTCATCAAGCTCAAGCCCCGACGGCCCTTAAAGAACTTCCACCAATTCAAGATCAAGCCCCGACGGCCCTTGAAGAAAGTGTTCATCGATCATCATCCGTTCATCCTAAGATCAAGCCCCAACGGCCCTTTAGATCAACAACGTCAACAAATCCACACATCCAACTGTCCTTCAAGATCAAGCCCAAAAGCCCTTGAAGATCCATCAATCACTGTTCTTCAAGATCAAGCCCAAAAGCTCTTGAAGATCTGTTCATCATTGTTCTTCAAGATCAAGCCCAAAAGCCCTTGAAGATCCATTCATCACCATTATTCAAGATCAAGCCTTAACGGCCCTTGAAGAAACTTTCAACCGTTCATCTAAGATCAAGCCTCCACGGCCCTTGGATCAATCACACATCCACAAATCAACACCTTACGGAGATCGAATCAGAGGATCAAATTTGAGAGAGATTCTAACCCAAAATCATCAAATACAAAATATCATTTTGTACACGTCAAAATGAGTCATTGAAATTTATATATACTAAAGCGGAATGAGAAAACCACTGTTCATAAGCAACAGTGTTTTGACGTTTTTGCCCTTATTTTAATGTTTATGTGTTCCTACTTTTTGTCCTTTTACAGTGAAATTCCCAAATTGCCCTACAGGCATACGTGTATACGAGGAAAGGTTTTCCCCGCATGGCATGCTAGGGAGATTTGCATCACCGCTTCATTCCTCTCATCTGCACCGTTTCCTTCCTCTTCCACTCCAAATTGATATGAAATACTGTTGGAAATGTGCCCTAAAGCCAATCATGTGATGATACTTTACGGACATTTCACATGTTAAACTAATCTAGTTTTACATATAAAGGGCAAAGATTATTGTTTGAGCCGTCTCATATAAATGTTATATGCTTAAACGATAAAGTCCAAGGAATATGTGATTGGGAGAATGTAATCTAATGAAGTTAGATTCATGAGACCATTCTTTCGTAGACACATCCTAAACGTTCCTGATCATAGGATTGCCAATTGGGCATTGACAGTCCGTTAAGATCAGTACGTACTATGTCTTCTCTCAGGGAGAGTGATTAGTCTCGAGTCATTGGTGTGTGTGACATCAAGACAAGTACGGTAGGTGCTCAATAGAGAATGAGTTCACTGAACGCGATCAACGAAGAGTTCTCATATTCCATGTCACATGAGAACTCATGGTTGGGATAATGCAAAGTAGTCCTTTGACCTGAGGCATCATAGTTGTCTTGTGGTTAAGTCCTTGATCTTTGATTATGTCAAAGTCACTCCATCAGGAGGGTGTCCACGGCATCGTTGGGGTCAAGCCACTTATCTATGGAGACAAGTGAATGCGCAACAAGGGATCTCTAACCTTCAAACCGTTTGAGGGAGAATACTCTCTGATATGATTTGAATCTCTGGCCAGAGTATGAATGAGATTAGGGAATGCGTTCCGAATCACATTCAAGGTAATCATATAAGCACAAGACACACATTGGATAGTAGACATGAGAAAATAAACTATCAAACCAAACAATGTGGTCAAGAGTATTAGATTAGAGAAAGACCGTATTGCATTTGTAATCCCGAACTGAATAGGTTCTCTAACCTCTTCTGATTAGCTTGGGTAACCATGATATGCTGCTAGGTGTCACTCATGGTTTGTGGAAGCCCTAAACGTGTGTAATCACTAAAGGGAGAATTGAAAATAGTTTCAATTCACAATCGATGTAAAATGGTTTTAATCGCCCACTACCTCGCTAAAAGGAACCTAATGGATCGCACACCATAAAAGGTAGAGATTGGAGATTAAACGGAAATGAGTAAGAATGATTAAATGGTTTAATCATTTATTTATGGCAAGGATTAATTAATATGTTAATTAATCAAACGAATAAGTTCGTTAATGACTTCGGGATAGTTTTGGACCTTAAGGCCCAATGGGCTTCGAACGTCAAGCCCATTAACTTAAGTTGTATGACAATTTAATGAATAAAGATTCATTAAAGCCCAAAAAGCCCAAATCCCATTAGGTGGCCGGCCATGAAGATGAATTAGGGTTTTTGTTGTTTAGGTCACTTAAAGAAGTGACTATATAAATGACTTTATAGCCAAATATTCATTAAGGATTAAAAGGGTTTATTTTTGGGGAAAATGGGTGAGAATTGTCTCTCCATTTCTCTCTAAAGAGGCCAACACCTTGGAGGGTACATCTAGCAATCCTACTACTCCAAGGTCACTCATTTCTTCTACAATCTAACCTTGGTGAAGAGACTTAGAGGTTCTCAATTTTGGGAACTTGGAGAACCTATTCTTCCATCCAAATCCATGGATCT